AGCTTGGGAAACCGGCCACGGTGGAAATTTTGAAACACAGACATCGGTGGAAATTTTGAAACACAGACATCGGTGGAAATTTTGAAACACAGACATTGGCAAACACCTCAAATCAAGATGTTTTTGCCCCACCCCAAGCTGGGAGGGAGGCAGACGGGCAGGTGGCCCCGGTGGCAGGTGGCCCCGGTGGCTTCTCACGCGATTGCTTTGTTGTTGTTGTTGTTGTTGTTGTTTGTGGTCGTTATTTTGAGTAAATGTACAGAGCTGAGCAGCCAGAAGCACAACCCAATTTAGAACAGCTTCGTGGCTTCTCAGAGACCCCTGGCCCATTTGCAGTCACCTCCTGTTCATACTCCCCCAGCCTCAGGCAAACACTCATCTCCATCCTAACTCTTTCCTGGAGGGTTTGGAGCAGAAAAAAGGAGGTGGCTTGATTTATATCGTCACTACTGCATCCTTTCTGTTGAAACATAATAAAGTTTCTGTTCTATTTTCAGATTTTTAGGTTGTGCCTTGAATTTTCAGGGCAAACGTGCCCCAGGTCCAAGACGCCCCAGGTCCTAGGCGCTAGGGTTGGATTTTAATCCCGGTCCCCCCACACCCCCGCCCCCGCCCCGCATCCCGACTGTGAGCTGCGAGAAAGGCTTGGCAGGGCCATTCTCACTGGTTCTAACATGTTCAACAGTTGAAGCCACCATGTCCTCTGCTGAGTTTGGGTGGAGGCTGAGCCAGTATATCGTTCGTCACCAGTGCCTCAAGGAGCTGCACGTTTGCACGCATTAAGACCTGCATTCAGCTGAAGCGCACGTAGAAGCCATTTGCAATTCCCGGGCTCCTGGACGAGGTAGGAGGTACTGTGCATGGAGAGACAGGTGTCAGCTGATTAAGCCAGAAGAAAGCTGACAGGGAGCAGCCTTGGGCACTTGGAAGTGAGGACTGGGCATTCTAATTATCAGCTGCCAAGGAGCCCGGGAATCTAGGGGTGGGAGGCAGAGGAAGGCTGGGGCAGATGTCAGGAGACTCGAGGAGTAGGGAAGGTCAGGGACAGGAGTCTGGGCCGGTGCCATACGGTGGCCACGGCAAAGGCTGCAGCCTAGGCCCCTCTGGGACGTGAGACCTGAAAGTCATAGCCCCTCCGACCCTCAGTTTTTTTAAATCTGTGAAATGGAGAAAGTAACATTGACATCACAGAGTTGTTCTAAGGATTTAAGGAAATAACGTTTAGAGAAAGTACTTTTTAAATGCCTGGCCCATAGTGAGCCTTTGGCAGGTGGCAGTTATGGTTTTTCCCGTGACATTATTGTTGGTTATTGCCTTAGGCCGTTTGGGCTGCTATGCCAAAAACAAAACAAAACAAAATAAAAACCATATCCAGGTGGTTTCAACATTATTTTTCACTGTTCTAGAGGTTGGGAAACCCAAGATTGGGCGGCGTGAGCAGATTTGGTGTCTGATCGATACAGGACAGGACCAATGTCCCCGAGTTGGGCGTGGGGGGTGGGGGGGGGCAGGGAGACTAAACGCTGCACCCTTGGTGGAGAGTGTGGAAAGAATTCAGCACACACGCCCAAGTTGGAGTCAAAAGGCAAGTTTATTGGAAAAGGGGTGACACCCGCAGACAGAGTGGGGGCTCCTCTCGGAGGCAGAGAGAGGGGCACCGAGAGGAACGGTGACAGGAGAGAGAGACGAGGACAGTGAGAGAGACAGAGCGAAGGCCCTGAGCGGGACGCCGAGTGTTCGGGGAACTCAGTTTATGTGTCATTCTTTAGTTCCCATTTCCTGTGACATGGACATACCGTGAGGAAGGGGAAGGGTATGTAGCCTGAAAAGGTAAGAACTTGTAGAGCGAAAGGCCTGCGGGCAGTTCCCAGCCTTTAATCCGCAGGTTCCCCGCGGTTTTAGCCAGAGGGAGTGAGTCTTGGTGCCTGTTTCCCCCTCACAGGTGTAGGGGATGAGTCCTTAGCAATCCCAGCAGACCTCAGCCTCTGCTCTGCAGGCGTCCTCTGGGCCTGGCTGGGCTGATCAGCCCATGGCAGTCTCTGACTGCAGTTGGATTAACATTACAATTCCCTTGCCTCCTCTCTGCATGACCACACTTCTCAAAGGTCACTGAGCCACCCATCTGTGGTTCCTGTTCAGTGCGGAGTCTAATCCCAGCATGGGGCCTGGGGTGCTGCTGACGTAGCTGGTCCACAGGCCACTTGTAGCTGTTAAGCACTTGAAATGTGTCTCCTCCAAACTGAGAGGCGCTGGGAAGTAGAAAATACATCTTGGTTTTCGAGGACTTAGTACCAAAAAAAAAAAAAAAAAAAAAAAAAAAAAAAAAGAAAAAAAAACATCTCCAAAATAAAAAAAAAAAAAAGAAAAAAGGATAAAAAACATCTCCATAATAATTTATTTTTATATCGATCACATGTTGAAATCATAGGATATAGCCGGCTACATAAAAAGTTTTATTATCACTAATTTCATCCGTTTCTTTTTACTTTTTTGAATGAAGCCACTAGAAAATCGTATACTGCACAGGGCGCCCATTTATATTTTTATTGGATAGCTTTGCCCTGGAGTTTTCTTCAGTTTTGTCAGGCCAGTTTGAGACTCACCAAAGGCTTCTCGAGAGATCCCCTCTGAAAGACTGGGCCTTGGGACGTGGGTCCTGAGGCACCGAACCTGGACCCAGAGGTCCATAGGCGGTGAGTGAGAGGTGGAAGCCTGGACCACGGGCTCAGGGGAGAAATGACCAAAACCCCGGAGTGGAACTAAGGCCAAGGCCTGGGACAAGTCGACATGGCCTCCTGGCAGCATCGGGGCCGGCCTCAGCTTCTCCCTAAATCCCAGAATTCAGGACAATGCTCTCTCTCCTCTCATTGGTGACAGGAGGAGGCGGTAGGATGAGGCTGTGGCTGAGACGCCTGGTCCTCCCCGTGCTGCGGCGCGCCCGAGGATGCAGCAGGCTTCACGGGCAGCCACCGCCCCTACCTCCCCCTCAGGAGTTTGTGGCCAACTGGGAAGCCATCAGCCTGGGGAAAAAGCCTGTGCCTGAGTACTTCGACTTTGCCCATGACGTGCTGGACGTGTGGAGTCAGCTGGAAAAGGTGAAGTACACCGCGTCCTAGCGTCTCTTTCGGGCATCGGACGCTGCCCTTGGGTACCCCAGCGACACCCCGTCGACAAGACGTGTCCATGTGGATGCTCTGACTCAGGAATTTTGTGAGTCCTAAAATGTCAGCTGCTGGTATTTAAGCCTCGTGACCGAGCGTGTGAGCCTTAGACACCCCGCCCCTGCCACCCCTGTCTTTGTCATGTACTTCCCTCTTAAATAAGGGAAGAGCAGGGCTCAAGCTCAAAGCTTCGCGCCGGTCACAGCAGGTACAGAATAAGATGAGCTCGATTTCTTTGTGTGTCTCTGTGCGTATGCTTCCTTATTTTCTTTATTGTCCCCTCCCTTATGTATCCTTCGTGCATCTCTCTCCTTCTCTGTGTGTTTTATAGTCATCTTTTATTTATGTTGATAAGTTATGTTGATAATTTATGTCGAGAATGCTACCTTTTTATTTATAGTAGGGGAACATAAACTTTAATTTTTAAAAAATCGTTTATGTTAATTTTAAAAAGCACTTGTTTAAAGAAGAATTTAAAGAAGGTAAGTGATATTGTTAGCAGACGTGGTAAAATTTACGTAGGCACCGTGAGAATGGCTGCAGCGAGCAGGCGTGGCAGTCAGGTGGGCATTGTTCATCCGCTCGAGGTGTGACTAAGCTCTTCGGAGCTCGGTTTTCTCACTGTGAACTGGGAGTCAGACCCTCTGCCACCCGGAGTTGTCGAGGATTAAATGAGACGTGTCTGTAAGAGCTGGAGCCAGCTGGAGCCCGTCTACAAAGTCTAAGCTCTTTTTCCTACACCGGCAGCATCCTTAGAAGCCTTCTCATGATGAACACAAACAGGGTGAAGTCAGCGGCAAAAACCGTGGAATAGGGGCTTTCAAAAATGATCTCCTTCAGAAAAGCAACACCACCACCAAAAAGTTAGAAAAATTGTTAGTATCAACTTTTGCAGGACTCCAGAAATTAATCAGAGCCTGGAGTAACATAGGGAGTATTTATTAAAAAAAAACACTTGTTAAGGATTTGGATGCATCTTTAAGAAAACCTCTCGATAAAGCAAACTAAATCAACAGACGATTGGATAAAGAATATGACTCAGCCACTAAAAAGAAAATGAAATCCTACCATTTGTAATGACATGGATGGACTTAGAAGTTATGCTGAGTGAAATAAGTCAGAGAAAGACAAATACCATATGATTTCACTTATATGCGGAATCGAAGGAAAAAAAAGAACAAACTAATCAAAAACACACTCACAGATACAGTGGAGAATTTGGTGATGGACAGAGGGGAAGGGGTTTAGGGGGCTGAGAGGATGGGGTGAAGGGTTAAACAAGGGTTAAACAAATTAGCAGTTGATAGATGGTCACGGGGATGGGGAGCACGGCATAGGGAATGCAGTTAGCATTAATATATCGACTAGGTGGAGAGCCAGAGGAGAGAAAGAGCAATTAGGGAGATTTTTTTATAAACTATATAAATATCTAATCAATGTTCTGCATACTTGAAACTTACTAAAATTTTTAAAACATTTTTTTAAAGAATAAAAAAGGAAATCTGATATATTGCCTCAGTATGCAAAAAAAAATCATATTTGTATGACTATTTTGACAAAAATTTAAAACATATTTGTTGCCTTCAGGAGCCAAGGGCTACCAGAAAATATTAGCTTCTACATTACACCTGCCTTTTATAAAGGAATAGTATGGATAAGTTGAACTGTACATTTTTTTCAAACTTGATTCCCATTAAAGCAGAAATGATAAGATTGCAAAAAAAGAAAAAATGACACTATGTCTCAAATCGATCTACATACTCAATATCAAAATCCCAGTACACGTCTTTGCAGAAATAGAGAGGCCCAAAATTCATATGGAAATGCAAGGGACCCATAATAACCAAACACTCTTGAAAAAGAAACCCCAAACTGGAGGAATCACACTTTCCTATTACGAACTACTACCGAGTTACAGTAACCAAGACCGTGTTTAAAAAAAAGAAAAAAAAAAAAAACAAAAAAGAACAGCATAGCACTGATGTAAGGATAGACATGAATGAATGGGATAGAATTGAGTCCAGAAAAAAAAAAAAACCATAACTATACGGTCAATCGATTTTCGACAAATGTTTTAAGAAAATTCTATGGGGCAAGAATTGTCTTTCCAACTAATGGTGCTGGTGCCCTGGAGTATCACGTGCAAGAGCTGGTCCCTGCCTCACACCGCATACAAAAATTAACTCAAAAATGGATCAAAGACCAAAACGAAGGAACGAAAATCATAAAATTCTTGGGAGAAAACATAGGCGTATATCCTGGTTTAGGCAACAGCTTCTAACGCACGAGCAAGGAAATTTAAAAAAATAGAGAAATTGAACTTCATGAAAATGAATAGCGTTTGTATATCAGAATAGAAGATAGTCCACTGAACGGGAGAAAAATATTTGCAAATCACATATCTGCTATATAAACCCACAGATTTATAAAGAACTCAAACTCAACCATAAAAAGACAAATACCCCAAATTAGAATGCGGGCTAAGGATTTGAATAAACGTTCCTCTAAAGAATATAAACAAATGGTCAGTTAGTGCACGGGAAGGTGTTTGACATCTTTATTCATTAGGGAAAGGCGGTCCTAACCACAGAGAGGTACCACTTCACACAGAGCAGTATGGCTCAAAACAAAAACAGACAGAAAAGTATAATAACAAGTGTAAAGATGTAAAGCAAAGCAATGCTAGTGGGAATATACAATGATGCAGGCGCCTGGAAAATAGTTCAGCAATTCCTCAAAAATTTAGACGTACAGTTATCATATGACCCCGGCGTTCCACTTCTATGTGTACGTCCGAGAGAACAGAAAACATTTGTCCACGCAAAAATGTGTACGCAAGCGTTCGCAGCAACGATATTCATAAAAAGCAAAATGTGAAACGACCCAAACGCCCATCAACTGACGAATGGACAGACGAAAGGTGATATATCCAGGCAATGGAATATTATTCAGTTGTGAAAAAGAACGTAGCCCTGATCCGTGCTGCCAAATAGATAAATCTTGAAAACGTCATGTTGGGTGTATAATTCCACTCGTGTGAAAGGTGCAGACTGGGCAGATCCGTAGGGACAGAGAGCAGATTAGTGGCTGCCAGGAGCTGGGTGAGGAGAGACTAGGGAGTGGCTGCTAATCTGCACAGCACTGCTTTTTCGGATGATACACGTGTTCTGGAATTAGACAGTGGCGATGGCTGCACGCGGCTCGTGAACATTAAACTGTGTTCTTTGAAATGGCGAATTTTATAGCACGAGAATCATATCTTACAGAGGGGAGGAAAGAGAACCGTGTGAATCATAGGCTACCTTTTACATTAAAAATAGTACGGGAAAAAGAATATACTTACTGTCTGCCTAAAGAAACACTGGAAAATGTGGAGGAAACCAATATTATTGGTTCCTCGTTGAGAAGGGTGGGCACGAGGAGGAAAACGAGACTTCTCCGTGCAAATCTTTTCATATGGTTTGGATTTTTGAACCCCGTGTCCGTGATCACTATTATAAAAGATAAAAATCAAGCTAAAAATGACGAGTAAACAAAAACCATCAACAAATTGTTCCGATTTCTTCTCTGCCTGCACTTCTGTCTAGGCTGGGCACCGGCCCCCGATCCCTGCCTTCTGCTGGGTCAATGGCAAGGGAGCAGAGGTCAAGTGGAGCTTTGAGGAGCTGGGGATGCAGTCCAGGAAGGCGGCTAACGTGCTAGTGGGCGTGTGCGGCCTGCAGCCCGGCGACAGGATGATGCTCGTGCTCCCGAGAATCCCAGAATGGTGGCTGGTCAACATAGCTTGCATGCGGACAGGTCAGTGAGCAGGGCCACTGCCATAGCTTTGTAGTGTCCACAAGGCTTGGGAGATGAGCAAACTGAACTCGGCGTGGAGTTCCGTTTACTTCCCCTTTGCTCAAATCACGGAGCTGATGGCGTACAGGGGCCCTTCTAGGGTGGTTTTTCCAGGGGAGGCTCGGAGGGGGCAAAGGGCACAGCCTTGGGTGCTAAGAGGGCCTCTGCTGGCCCTGTCCCACGCACTTGTTGAAAGGGCTGGAGAAATCACTGTTTTCGGGCCGTTTTACAAAAAAAGGCAAGACAACAGCTTTCGGGGAAGAGCTGATTTCTCCAGTCCCCGGACACTTTTCAGCACGTAGAATGCTGTCCACTCCTTCCAATTATGTCCACAGAACAGTCTACCCAGAATATAGATGTTTTTGCCAATAATAATGTTTGCACAACAGAAGGTACGGACTCACACCAGAGAATTAACCTTTCTGGGTGAACAAGTTTAATTCAACCATTTGGTGAGTAGATTGTCTCCCCTCCCAAAAATATTATAAGTTTCATTTTAACATATTTTTGCACAAATTAGAAAAGCGGGCACTACTCTAGTGCACTCAGCTCTCAAGAAAAGAAACGGGCGCCCAGGTTTGGAGACTTCTCCATATTTTTCCATGATATATAAGGTCTATTTAACTGATGGCCAAGGTAAGAGAGTCCCTGTACTTTCCTTGAGGACCTACTACGTGCCACTGCGTTAGGCACTTTGCATGATAAAAGCTTCCCTTTGGAGTATCGTTACCATTATTTTTTCTCTTGCCCCAAGATTTTTTCCATTTCCCCCAATTATATGGGTTCACCCATACCTTTGATGTCCAAATAAAATAATTCAAGGCCACGTCCCACATTGCCAAGTCAGGTCCAACATCCTCTCCAAGGTTTCAGAGGATGCCCAGGCTGGATATTCGTACATTCTCACCTTCCCACATCTGGACACGCACTCGTCACCTTGCTTCCGGTCTATGGGACTAGACACTTTTCTCTTGCTCAGAGCTCCGGCTGTCCACCATCCGCTTGGCCCCCAGAGCACCGTATGTAACGCCAGGTGGAACAGACTTTTGCTGGAGACAGCTAAAACAGAGAGATGGGGTGAAGAGCCACGCCATTCAGCCCCCAAAGTGTCCCGGCTGGGGTTTAACTCCTGTAAGGGTCTAAGAGATAGAGCAAAGAGCAACGGGGACTCAGTTTGGCCCCCGTGCTGTTGGGGGTGGCCCCTTCCTCTGCCTTCTGCCTTCCTCCTTGAGCCACGGCAGGGTGACCGATTCATTTAGGAATACTCATTCTTCTCCTCTTTGAAATGAGAGTGCTGGTCTCAAGGGAGTGTTTACAGCCCGAATTCTGTAGAGACTCAAGTGGTTTTTCAAGTGTCTGAATAGAATTTGTTCCTAATCTCTGCTTCCAGATGAACTCGGCTACCGTCACGATTGCTTTGGTCGAAGTACTGTGTGGTCAAGACAGGCCAAGAGCTCTGTCTTCATATAGCTTAGATTCTAAAGGAAGGAGACAGAAACAAAAAATAATAAGTACATTCTATAATATGTAAGAAAGTGATAAATATTAAGGAAAAACTAGTACGGGGTGAGGAGAACCGGTTAGGAGGTGGGTCACAATTTGAAGTACATGGTCAAGGTTAGCTTCACTAAGAAGGTGACAAATCTTTGGCAAAGATTTAGAGGAGAGGGGGCTATCCACAGTACCTGGGGAAAGTGGTCTTAGAAGAAGAATGGGCAAGGGCAAAGGCCCTGAGGGAGGCCATGCCTGCAAGGGACAGCAAGGAGGCCAGTGGGGCTGCTGGGCAGTCAGTGAGCTGTAAAGGGACAGGACATCAAGCCAGAGAGGACAAGAGGAGGGTGTGTGAAGACCACGTAGCCTTGGATAATGTGCTCACTAGTTCGACATTCCTTCGCATGGAGCTGGGACTCACTGCTGGGTGCTGAGCAGAGATGTGACATAATCTGACCTCTGACCTAGTCTTAACCAGTATCTGAAATGACCTTAGTCATCTGACATGTTATTAGCTGTCTCACATCCAAACTGGGTAAGACACTGTCTTAGTCACCTCTGTGTCCATCTGAGAACAGCAGTCAATGAATATTTGTCGATTAATTGACAGAGACAGATATTTCCAGGCGGGACAGTGTTCCATGGCTTATCCTGGGGAACTTGGCTTCAGAACTTCCCAACCAAATGCGTCTGTGAGTCTTTATGCCACCATTTCTCAGAGAGCAAATGACTTTTCCTGAGTTCCCTTCTATTCACGGGCCCCTAGTCACTGTTCGCAAGACCATGACCTTCATTCCCCAAATCGGCTGCACCCATGTGTTTGGCAGGAACAGCCAATGACCCAGACCCTCATTCCACATGGGTGTGTTGAGCCTTCTGTTCTAAACTGCAGTCACAAGGATTTACTGAGCGCTTACTCTGTGCCACGCTTTAGAAAACTTTTACTTATCTACTTGTTAAATAAGTAAATACAATCTGAATTTGCATAAGTTAATACAAGAGTTCATTCTGACCTGTTTCAAAGTCCAAGTAGCTTCCCTCTCCAGAAGCACTTGGGGTTTCAAGGGTACCATCCTAGTGGTATTCTAAATATCTTCACGTGCAGGGTGCTGGCTGTGCATTGTCAAGGATCCCCGCATGTCTAAGGGGTCTTCTAGGATTATCCCCCATTTTCAGATGAGAAGACCGAGACTCACGGTGTGGGTCACATAACTTTTTCAAGAGCACACAGCCCAGTAGCAGGGGAACCCAAACTCATATCTAGACCGTCATCAGGTCCTTGGTCCCGAGCCACGAGCTTCTGCTGTGTAGCCACGGATAAAGAGATTGTGAACCCCTGGGGTGAAGGGCCAGAGGGTGTCTGTGCAGAAGGAGTAGGTAACTGGAACAGGAGGAAGCACAGATCCCGTCTTAGGAAGAGGGGCGTATGAGACATCGAGAGTAGCAGTGAGCAGGCATGGGTAGCACAGGGTGAAATCTATTCTGTCCCCAGTCAGAGGAAGCAAACGAGGTGAACGGCTTTGATGTCTCCGATAGATGCCCAAGATGGGGTCGGGAAGACTTTAAAAGGAAAGAAGGCGTCAGGAAGAATAGCCGATCAGCTCGGGACTCTTGGTAGACCCAGAGGAAGAGCCTGAGCATCTCAGGAGACCCTAGCGCTGACCAGCAGGTACGTCCATATTGCTTGCTACCAAGTTCCTTCAGAAAAAATCATCTCCCTTTCCCAAGCAGATACGACTATTTCTTAAAGTCCTTGAACAGGTCCTTAGAAGGGGACAGCCATGTGGCCGCCTCCACGAGAGTTAGGTCTCTACTCTAGGCGTTAGGGTCTTGCTCCTCCCCCCTCTGTGGCAAATGGGTCAAAATAAAAGGAGAGACTGGAAAGAAGGGAAGGGGTTGTCCACCTGGCCTCCTGGCCTCGGTGCTCGGGAGCTTCATTGCAGGTAAGGGGTGAGAAAGTACAGAGCTGCATGAGGGATTTCAGGCAGACTCTAGAGAGAACTTCCTGGAAGACAGTTAGGGGGCTTGTGACTGTGTGACTCTGAGGCATTCAGGAACACCTGTTGCAGGGGTATTTAAGATGGGGCAGACACCCTTAGGAGGTAGGACTCTGTGAGCTTTTCCCAGAGCAGGGGAAGAATCCCTTCCAGGACTGGCAGCTGCTCTATGTAAACAGGTTTTTCAAGCCCTATCATTTCTTGGGTTGCCCAGAGAAAGGGACCCACACTGTTTCTGGTGTCTTCTCCAAGCGTATCCTCTCTTCTCTCCCTAGATCGCCACCTTGGACTGTGGCTTGTAGGGTCTTGAAGCTCCTCAGGCTCCCCCAGATATCCCCTGATGTGGGTCTCTGTCCCAACTTTGTACCCCCGGCGATTAGTCATTGCCAGGTAACTGGCATCCTAATCTTTTCCCTGGCCTGTGGGTCTCCATTGCCAAAGCTGGTGTCTTCAACAGAGACTCTTCATTTAGGAACCTCCCCCCGCCCCATCCCTACCTGTCATGGGGCCCTTTTAGCAGATGAAACCCTGGTCCCAGCACCTCCAAGGAATGACTCTCCAACAAGGGGCACTTAGGGAGCAGGCTGACTGGGGTGGGAGCGGATGGGAAAGCTCCATCTGGGAGGGTACAGGATTCGAGGTGGCCTGTAATGTCACTTACCTGGCTGTTAGATTCTTCTCTTTGGTGAGTATTTCTGAAAAACACCAGCTCAGAGCCCTGTGATGTCCAGCGCTAGTCTAGTTAGCCACTTCGGCGTGACCCACACTTCTGGGAGGTTAGGGGTCCAGGTCCAGATGTGGGACTGACTTGCTCTGGGACCTGAAGCGATTTATCGTTCTGCTACGAGATTTCATATTATCCACTCGATGAATCTGGAAAGATCTGTTTTTCTGACCCCGTGACTCAAACAGAGCTGCCTGAAAACTAACAGTTACTAAAATAGACAAGATGGAAGATGGAGTGAGATGATTTGCAGAAAGCAAGGATATTGGGGGCTCAGCTTTGGACAAAGTATGTTTGACATGCCCAAGGGACAACCAAGAGTAGAAGTCAAGCAGACTAGGATGCAGGAGAGAGATCCCCAGACATGTGTATGGGGGTCATTGGCAAGGCAGCTGGGGTCCAAGCCACGGTGCTGGATGAGATCACATCTGGAGTGAGTGTAGATAAAGGAGATGAGGAGGAATCATGAAAAAGAGACTAAGTCTGATGAAAAAAGGGTTAAAGGAGGGGAGAGGACATATATCAAGCCCTCCAGAGCGCTGTCTCTCAGCCTCTGGTTGGAGCAATAACTTGCTGTCAGTCCCATACATAATCTCCTTTTGACCTTCTGGATTGAAAAAAAAAAAAAAACAAACCAGCCTCTGCTGACCTCAGTCCATGAACCCTATAATCCATGACCACAGTTAGAACCGACTTTACCACAAGAGAGTCTCTGGGGTATTCTACAGTTAATGGTTAGCTCCAGAGTT